TGAAGGTCCTTTATATGTATACTGGCGGATTCTACATTTACTCAATATTTGCTCTGATATTTTGGGAAACAAAGCGTTCTGATTTTGGGGTTTCAATGTGTCATCATGTCGCAACTTCTATTCTCATCGTGCTATCTTACATATTAAGGTACATTTTCATACTATGAGCATTTACTTGATTGGCTAATAGGAGTTCATTACAGCTTTATGGTGGATGACTGCTGAAAATTTAATCATTCGAATTGTATGTTAGGGCAAGCATTTTGGCAAATGCTATATTATTGCATCTTGGTCTTAAAGACTATTATAATTTTCCATCAGGTTCAGCCCAATTAAAAAGAAAAAGAAAAAGAGATAAAATACAGTTATCTTCCAAAATGAAACATACCAACTGATTGTTGCCCCTTTTTAACGAACATCATCATCAAGAACTCATTAGTAAGGTAAACACATAAAAACCTTTGACATTTATTTTGTTGTTTAAAATTTGTAATTAGGCTAATCCTGACGGTCATTTTGCGGTCGTCACGAACTTGTAGAGTTAGTTATGAAAATTAGCCTTCTGGTTTGAGCAAATTAACAAATAAACCAGCTAACTTTGAAAACATGACACGACCCACGAGATTTTATTATCTTACATTTATCACTCTATACCAAAAACATTTCGAAAATCCCATGTTTATAAAAGTATTACAGTTGCCCTCTCAATTTACATTGTACTAAGCCTCGAAAAATTCTATGATTTTGAAAATTACCGGATTTGGTGTGCTTATGCTAAACCTTAGTGCTGGTATTTGTGGTTATCCTAAGTTTAGTAATATAATTATAGCCACATAGCAGTTTGTCCAATTACTTTCTTTTCTTTTCTTTTCTTATGTTCACTTTTCCAGATTTGCACGTGTTGGCTCGATTGTTTTAGCTCTTCATGATGCCACAGACCCATTTCTTGAAATTGGTAAGATTTCGAAATACAGAGGTGCCGAAGCATTAGCCAGCTGCTCGTTTGTCCTTTTTGTCCTTCTTTGGGTCTTGCTACGTCTCATTTACTACCCATTCTGGATTCTATGGAGCACAAGGTCTTGTTGCTATACTATTTGTTCTTCTAAATACCCATATTTGAATTTTTTTAGAACTAATAAATTTTTGTGTCCAAAATTTACATGGTTCTCTCCATAAGCGATCGGATGACTTGACAAATAACAACACACTTTTAGGATGCACAAAGAAAAAAAAAAAAAAAGTGCATTTGAATTATTTTGTTGTTCTTTTGGCAGTTACGAAGTTATCATGTTTGTGGACAAGGAGAAACACAAAGTTGATGGACCAATCTATTACTACATTTTCAACACACTCCTTTTCTCGTTGCTCGTCCTCCATATTTACTGGTTCATGTTGATGTTCCGAATGTTGGTTGATCAAATCAAAGCGGGTGGGAAAGTGAGTGAAGACGTTAGATCCGGTGAGTCGAGATTGAAAACCAAATGATGTGTACAATGTCGGTTAAATTATTTTGTTTTCTCATTTTCCATGATGAAATAAAAATATGAAATTTATATATGTGCAAATATTATGTTTAAGAAACATAAAATTGATGGACTGGTTTGTTGTACCATTTTAAATTTTACTGGCTTTTCCTGTTTTTCTACTGAAAGGGTTTGTTTCTTTTTTTTCGCAGATTCAGAAGATGAAGACCCACACGAAGATTGATAAGGAAAAAATTATTATAGCTTTATCCATTTTCAATATTTCGAATTTACTTCTTTGTTCACCACTGACGCAAAAGGATCTGTTTTTGTTGAGCTGAAGAGCAATGTCCATGGCATCCAACAAACAATGTCAGTCCACCCCATACTTGAACATTTTATTAATTATTTATTTTGTATTAAACTAATTGTCCAATTGACACCCTTTTATGGTGGAAAAACTTATGTCAAAGACTTGCAAAGGTTAATTTATGTGCCAAGATATTATTAATTTAAAACAAAAAATTATTACAACAGAATATATACATATACAGAAAATTTAAAAGTGAAGAAACAATAACTGTATGCATGAAATTATGTTATTTGAAAATCATAGATACTTTTAACACCTCTTAACTTAAAATTAGAAGAATCTCGTTAAAGGAATCAATTTATTAAACTTTGATAGTCTAATTTAAAGGGACCAATAAAAAATCATTTAATAATATATGATTTTCATATTTGTATGTTTTTCATTGCGAGATTTTTAAATAAAAATAATTATATTTAATATATATATTGAAAAAAGAGTTTGATAAATTGTCTCTGCCACCACCTATTGCTCTATATATAATTCTCGAATATACTGAGCCTAAGTGGTAGACTCGCACGCTTCAGAATCCTAATGTGGCATATTTTTAAACTTTGTTGTTTGGCTTAGATGAATTTTAATTTATTTCAATGGAAAAGTAACTAGGCTTGAAATATCCATATAATAGTTGATATTTATGATCCATTTTAAGAACATTAACTATGTTTTAATACTATTTCTTATTTGTATACGTGATTTATAAGGTATATTTTTTTTTTCAATCTTTCTTTTAAAAAATCATAACAAACTTACTAACTCAAATTGTAAATATAGTTAAAAATTAATAAATTTTTTATTTATTAACAAATTATCATATATAATATATTGTCTTGATGAACTTCGATGTGACATCTATATTATACATAAAAAAAAATAATTTTGTTTATCTATATAAATAAAATTAAATTACTATTAATATTAATTAAGAAATATAAAATTATTTAAACTTACTTAACTACAAAGTATTTATCAGTTATAAATGAAAAAAAAAAAATATAATATGAAAGGAAAAGCCGAGTAACTTACGGTGTCAATTTAAATATAAATAGTAATATATTTTTCCAAAGTTTGTCCAACCTTTTTTCTTTTTGTTTTTAGATTTAGATCTCTCTCTCCCGCAAACGTTCTCCGCCGTAGACCCACTCCATCGTCGCCGCCGCATAAGTTCGGTTAGTTCAGTACGCCCTCGTTATTTTTCTATCCTGTTGCTTAACATCTTTGCGAATGTTTGTGATCTGCTCAGCTGAAAGCGTATTTTTTAGAAGAATAATTTTTTCAGGGAATAAACTAATTCGCGTTTGCCCACAGCTCTTGCTTTGGTTATTGATTCTGTTAGACACTATCGATTTGGGGATTAGACCTCTTTTATTAAGACTAAAGAGAAATACCTCAAAACCCATTCCGATTAATTTTACATTTACTTTTCTGCTCGTTCTGGTTCGATATCGTATTCCCGTGATTTGAAATTAGTTTATTGCTGATTTTGTTTTCTGGGTATCGCATACAGGCTTGAAGAAATTTATTCATTGAATCATTCAAATCAGTTTTAGCATTTATTTATCCATCTCAATGACATTAAATGATTCATATTCTCCATTTTGTGGCTTATGTTAGCATGATAGAAGATTGTTACTATGTTGGCAATTGTACTTTGTTGGTTGTGATTCATGCGGGCAACAGTAATCATATTTTCTCTTGGAAATTGAGTGTAAAGCTTATGAGAAGCTTGCTTTTCTGTGTTCTAGGATGGGGGCATTTATGAGAAGCTTGCTTTTCTGCTATTTATGCTCTTTACTATGTCAACTGTGACTTGTATGTGCAATTGTTTTCTAATGCACTCTGGGAATTTTGTTCGTTTGTGAAAAATCTTGAATCTGCATTTGCTCTTATGAACAACTTTTTTGCAAGAGCTCTAGATTTCTTGGTCAATTACCAGTTTGTATAACACCTCACTTTACTTGTATAAAATAGCAGCCCTAGACTTTCCAAGACTAGCTTCTGAACTGCTTATGACTGCTCTATGCACGAGCTCACATTCAGCAGCTATTGACTGATGCTGAAGAACAGTCTAAGTGTTAATTACAAACATTGCGTGAGATTTAGCCCAATTATTGAAACAAGTATTCACCCAATGAACTTTCAACCCACAAATTCTTACTTGACATATACTTTCCTGCTACAGATTGTGTGCCCTGGTTATTTGCAATTCTGAGCGATTATTTCTTTCTTTTCTTACTCGACATACACATGCTCATATCTTGCACATGAAATCTCAGGGCTACCAAAAAAAAATAAAAAAATGGAAGATGTCATAACCGAGGTCCCACCACCATCGAGGCTATTGCCAGAAGACCTCAACAATTTCACACCTCCACCATCTCCCCTCCCGTCTCCCTTCCTCGTTTTCCCACCCCTAAATTCCCAAAATACCCATCTCCGCCCCTCGCTCCTTATAATCGCCATGTCATCCCCTTCCCTCCACTTCCTCCGCCACCTCACCCCGAAATCGCTTGTCTGCTCTCTAATCCTCCCCGAGACCCCTCTCGCCGGAATCTCCGCCGGACCCGACTCGTTTTCCGACAAATCGTGCAACGTTTACGCTCTCGGCTCAGTCTTCATCGTCCTCGTCCAGTGCCACGTCATCCCTGAGCGGGCCCACGCGGTAGCCCGCGCTCTACTCCGTGAAAAAATCGTGCCCGAGAGGGTTTTGATTCTCGATTCCGTTCAGAGCCGTAATTTTCGGGGCAGGCTGTCGAGAGACGAGGCCGTGGCTTTCAAGCTGGAGACTTCGGTTATGAAGAAAAGCTCGTTTTTTGTTAAAGGATTGGGTTACTACCCGTCGGGAAGCGTTGTTGATGGGCTTGGGGCTGCTTTGTTGGGCTTGTGTGAGGTGATGAGGATTGAGGGGACGCTGGTGATGACGTGGCCTGATTTGGGTGGGCCTGTGATGGGCCTGGTGAAGGATTTGCTGGTGAGGGATGTGTTGAGTGGGGTTGAGTACAGTGTGGATGGGGATTATGAGGAGGAGTATTTGAAGCTGAGCCGGAGGAAGGATCGTGTGGATAGTGACTTGTACACGTGATTCAGTGGCTGGTTTTTTGTGTTTTGCATTGTTTTTAGCAAACTTCTGTTTTCGTCATTTGCAAGAAGGTGGATCTGTGATTTTGGAAGATAGATGGTAGTTTGGTACTTGTGATAAATTATGATAAAACCTTTTGAGACAGGTGTTTTTTGTGTAAGGATCAAGATTCAGACAGGTAATTTTGCAGTGCAGTTAGCCTAGGGGCCGTTTCCAGAAATTTGGAGGCCTCAGATAAGTTTGTCCTTTTCGAATTTTCCGATTTGAACTTGTGTGGTAAGTAGAGTTATTTGCAGGTAGAATCGTAGAAGAAAAAACCTAATTAAGCAAGACTATTAAATAAATAAATAAATAATTGAAAAAAAATGATTTTGTTCTTTTTCTAGACATTGGAATTGATAAATTACCTATGAGTTACAAAAATCTTTAATAAGTAACATTCAAGCAGTCACGACGACGATAATAAGGAGAAGAAAATAAAAACCATCAAAGATTGTTTATTCTCACACAATTGTTTTGACCGAACATTATAAAAAAACAAATTAAATATTTGGGGCCTCAAATTTTCACACAAAATACATATTTTGTCATTAATCCCTTCACTTGTGTCATAGGCCAAGTCTATATTTAGCCATTAGCCCCTTCATTTGTGTAAATAAGTCAAACCCAAAACAAATACATAATATTGAAAAAAAAAAGACCCCAATTATATAGAGGCCTAGGTATAGGCTAGTCTGCCTCCCCAAAGAGCCGGCCCTGAGTTAGCCCTTTTAGGGTAGAGTCGAAATTTCCATTCTTCTGGAGAAGAAAACATCCGACGTTTTAATAACTGAATATTTGCAAAACCAACGTGTTGCTGTATGAACAAGAGAATTAATTGCAAGAGAAAATTAATACAAGATCGTCCCGCGTAAGCGTGGCAATGATCTGATTTTGTACAAAATTGATACTTAGAGCACCTACAATGTTTGAGTCTCTTTTTGTATATGTGGCATATAATTGGACTTGGTTCTTAAATGACATGGACAAATCCATAAAAAAAAAACCAAAAACTTTCCAATGCAAAAATAAAATAATAGGTGTAGACTAAATATCAACCAATCAAAACACGCCTAAAAAAAAATATCTTTCGGCTACCTTCTTCTTCTCGTGCTGCCTTTTCTTTTTGCTTCTTCAATCAACTGAGTTCGTTAATCGCTACACAATAATAGGCAAATTGGAGAAGGATATGTGCAAGCCAATAAGTAAATTCATACATCTTATCATCTTCATCTTCTTCTTCTTCTTTTTTGTATTAGACAAGTTGAGTAATAGGTTGTTGTTTTCTTGTTTCTGTATTTTTTGTGGGAAGTTTGCTGCTTTTTGGTAGTAAATATTTTTCCTGGTCGTTGCGTGTGCTAGTTTTAATGTGGGTGTTATTTGTGTATTGAACGATTTGTTATGTGTAAAGAATGAAATTTGAGTCAGTTAGATAGTGACAAGTGTTAAATTTCATGTTAAAATTAATTGACTATTTTTTTTTATTTTATTTGAAAATTTAATCAAATTTTATTCTTAAATTGAATATTTGATTAATTAATTATTTAGTATATATTCTTGGCCAATTAAAGAATGTCACATGTATATTTTAAAGATAATTAAAGAGGTAGTAGTGCCACATGTCATTCTTTTTTGGAAAATAAAGTAAATAATTAACATCGAGATTCTCAAATATCAATAAGCGAAAACGTAAATTTGTGAAAATACGAGTATCTCCCAATATATTGTTAGATTTGAAAGTCCCAACAATTTTATTTTAAATCATCCGAAGTGGTTAGTCTTAACCTATCGGACATAAAAATTCGTGGGAACCTCAAATTCTTAAAATCCTTTTTATCATTTTTTTTAAATCACATGTTTAAGAAATAAAGACATAGTATTATTGAAATAATTCATATAGCCACCAAAATCGAAAAATAAAATCAAGTCTTGGGTATAATCTGATTTCCCCCAAAATCGGCAAACAAAAACAAATCAAGTAATAAGCTTATATTCATGTAAATCCACATTTTAAAAATTACGAAAATAAGTGCAAATATATGCACCAAAAAATTATCTATAAATACGCTCACATTCACGCTCAAATCAAATGCAACGCTCATCAATAAAAAAAAGCCACTTCACACGTCCAAATCCCTCACACACACACACACACACATATATATATATATATATATATATATATATATAATTGCAGAATATGCTTAGCCTAAGTGGCAGAATCTCATGTGTCAATTTTTTATGCTTTATCATTTGGCTTGGATGAATTTTAATCTACTGATCTCAATTTAGAAATAATTAGATTTGGAATAGTTATAAATATACTAGATATTTAGGGTCATTTGTAAGACATAATTTTTTTAGCTCAATCTTTCTTTTTTCCTCATCTTTCTTCTAAAATTATGAAAAAATTACTAACTTTAATTATAAGTAGATTTAAAAGTTGATAATTCTTTTATTTATTATTAAGTTTTCATACATAATATATCAAATTAATCACTTCTTGATGAGCTTCAATTTGACATCTATATTGTACATACAAAATAAATAAATAATTATATTTATCTTTATAATAAAAAATAAATTACCTATTAATATTAATTAAGAAAATAAATTTTTAATCAATTTAACTACAAAGTTGTTAAATGATATAACTTAAGAAAAGTTATTATAATATAAAATGGTAAGTCATATAAGTGATGTCTGTTATTTTAAATATAAATAGTTATATAATTATTCAAAAGATTATTTCAAAATTAAAACAATTTATTATTATTATTTTTAATTTTAAATATAAATTTTTAACAAACAATCTTGTATTACACATGTACTGTACTAGTAAAATTATTGATCAACATTTGACCTAATCAAGGATCTTAGAAGAACTGCGAGGGTCGTTTTGAAACTTCGAGCAGCATCTTTAATATTACGTTTGATGCCTCTTGCCGAATTTATTTGGAAATTAGTTTTTCACGATAATGAGGTTAGTATTTTTCATTATGTGGTTTAATATTAGTGGTTAATATTTATTATTCAAATTTTTTTTATCAAAAAACTTATTTTTGTATTGCGATTTTTATAGGGTGGTAACATAACTGGACTTATTGGTAACATTAACATTCAAAAGATGAGTGGCATGTTTGAGAAGGGTGGAGCATATGTCATTCACAATTATCAATCAGAAAGTAACATTGGTAAATAATGATCTAACTTATACAACATATGTGTATTACACATTTTGTGTTTTATTCAAATTTTATTTTCAAATATGTAGACATATACATATATGTAGTTGTGTTTTATTCAAAATTTGTATGTGATATTTTGTTATCGTATACCTTATCTGTCTAACAAAAATTCTATCATTTAATATTGTTTTTCGGAGCATTACAGTTAAAAAGAAACGGAAAAGGAAATCTCATAAAAACTTCCCCTCTCTTAAGGCGCACGCGAACAATATTCTTACCCATCTCAGACCTTCTTCCTCAGTCTGTCGGTCAGCTTTGTCTGAGACGTAAATTGATGATCAAACTTGCCGAAAAAAGATCATAAGCCAAGCCCCCAATTCGATTTCATTGGACTAATCGTCTTTGTTTGTTGAGGTACATTTTAATCTATTTCAACAAGATCCTATTTTTCAACATTTTCTTCCATGCTAATTTATTTTTTTCTATGAAAAGCTGAAAATGGGCCTTTCCTTGCGCAATATAGTTTGATTTCTGTTTTCCTTCTTTCCTATTTTTTTTTTCTCTTTTTCTTTTGGTTGATAGGGTTAGATATTGACCCTTTGGGTTGGTGGGGAGGTTGAAAAAATGAAAGTTGAACTATTGAAGTTTTAAGTTTGAAGAAAATTTGTTTCGCATAGATTCCTGAAGGTTATGATTTTCGATTTCCCTTGCTCACAAAGTTTGAGTCTTTCGGCCGACAAGCATTTGAACTACTCTCTGTGTTCTTCACATGTTTCCTTTTTTTCTGTTTTCTTCGAGTTATTGAAAAAATAGGACAAAAAATTAATGGGTCTCGTGCAATTTTCGTCATCTCTCCTAGTCTAATGAATTTGGATAATCACGATCAAAATATTATGCCTCAATTCTACCATCTTTCTGACATATACCAATGCTGGTTCTTGTAATTTTCTCATTAGGACTGCTCAGCAGACAAATTGAATGGAAAATGATTACGACCCCGATCTGATTACTCAACTACCCCAAAGCATTATAGAAACCATTCTCACAAAGCTCCCAATCAGAGATGCCGTAAAAACGAGCATCTTATCCACCAAATGGAGATACAAATGGGCTTCCCTTACCCATCTTGTGTTTGATGACTGGAGCTCGGCCCATTACAACGATCGGGCCCTCGTCCAGGACAAAATCGTAAATTTCATAACCCGTTGCTTGTTCCTTCACGAGGGACCAATCCACAAATTCTCTTTGTGCAGCTCATATTTGCAGAGCTCACCCGATATCGACCAGTGGCTCCTCTTTATTTCGCGAAAGGGCGTAAAAGAGTTAATTCTTGAATTAGGAGAAGGAGAGTGGTTTAGGGCTCCTTCGAGTGTTTTCTCGTGTAAGAATTTGACCCGTTTAGAGCTCTACAGATGCGAATTAAACCCGCCTTTGGATTTTAGCGGTTTTTCGTGTTTGAAGTATCTCAACCTTCAGCAGGTCATGATTCCGCCGGACGATATCGAGTGCCTCATATCGAGTTGCCCGCTTCTCGAGAGTTTGACTTTGTCGTATTTTGATAGCTTGGAGTTGACTTTGAGGGCTCCGAACCTCAAGTACCTGATTTTGGAAGGCGAGTTTAAGGATTTGTGCCTCGCGAGCACGCCACAGTTGGTGGCTATATCGGTTGCTATGTACATGACAGATGATATAGCCGAACACTTTGAGCTGAGCTCGAGTTGTAATTTTGATAAGCTTCTTGGTGGAGTTCCCAAGCTCGAGAGGTTGATCGGACATATATACTTTACTAAGGTGAGATTTTGTGTGTGTGTGTGTGTGTGTGTTTGTTCCTCGTTAATGTTAGATATGGAAATTGCGAATTTGTTCGTCCCTTTGATTTTTTAAAAATCCTCTATTGAAGTCTGTTGTCCATTGCAAATGGAGATGAATTCTCCTGGCATAGTGCTAATAATGGACTAGATCAAAATGGCTCAATTAAATTCTAGTGCTTCTTCTATTAGTGAAGTTTCTAGAAAATATATATATATATATATATATATATATCAAACGGCGCGATGCACCTTGGGTCGCTACGGAAACAACCTCCTTGTATAATTACAAGGGTAAGGTCTGCGTACAACTGACTCCCCAGACCCCAACCTGTTTGGGAATATACTGGGTATGTTGTTGTTGTTGTTGTTTGCCTCTATTGAAGTCTGTTGGTTTTGGGAAAAATTTAAACAGAAGAATCTTATATGTTCCAAATTTCTTGCCTAGTTGGTTAAGTTAGCTGATGTTATAATCAGTTCACTTATGTTCGAGTATTTTTTTCTTATCCGAGTTTTGTCATGATCAACATTTGAACTCACGCGTGAGGATTTTCGAGTAAGTGAAATTGTTTTGCTTGTGTGTAAAAGTCTGGCAGGAAATATTTTAGCTTGTTTTTACTAACTAAAATGGATTATTTGATTATTATTTTATTTAGGAGAATAATTGGTGTCTTCTTGCACATTATGATTTTTGTGTGTTGAAACTACAAGAACTAAATGCCATTTATTAGCCATTATAATAAACTTGTTTTGGTTGGCACTAACTTATGAGTCCCTTTGATTCAGTATTTGAGTATAGGTAGCACTCAAGGACGTAGCCTAATAACTTTTCACCACCTAAAATTCATCGAGTTGTATCAAGTTAGCTTTGATGATGTGAAAGAGGTTGTGGCTGTGCTTCAGCTCATTGTGAACTCGCCAAATCTTAAAGCACTGCAGATCTCAGTGAGTTTGTCTCTGCCTGCTTATTTCTCATACTTCTTTTGCCGACAATTTATAGAGATCTTTTTGCTTCCTAAATTCTCGTAGTTTTACACTTCGTTATTACGTTGTAAGTTGTAGAAAAGATTATTCAGGCTGCAATATTAAAAAGGCTCAAATTCTTACTTTATGCTTGGATATAAAATAATTTGATTTTGTTTGGAATTTTTGGTTTGGTATGATTGTTGAAAAAAGTGGTATGGTTATTTGTTAGTGGAATTTTGAGTTTATACTAAAATAATTAAAATTGATTTGATGTAAAAGTAGGAAAGATATGATGTGAAGTGATGATTAGTTAAAATTATGTGAGTGGATGAATAGTGAATTAAAGTTGATGCAATGTATAAGAATGATTGGGTGTTTAATGATAATATTGAGGATAGTGAGATTGAGTTAAAGTTGAGTTAAAAAAAGTAATTGACAAAAGATGATTGAAATTTTTTTGAAAGATTTGCGTCCAAGCATTTAAATTTCCGGGCTGTTTACTAAAGTTGTTTAAACTTTAAATAGGGTTCCTCAAGCACATCCTCAACAACACAAGTTCCTGATTTGCAATTTTGGGTTGAGAAATCACATGCCGATTGTACATTTCATCAGTTGAAAACCGTGAAGTTGACAGATGTCTCGGGCGTGCCAAACGAAATGAAATTTATCGAATTTGTACTCGAACGTTCGCCTTATCTTGAGGAAATGAGTATCACGCCTAGTCTATATGTGACTGAAGGGAGACTTAACATGTTAATTGACTTAGTGGGCTTTCGTCGAGCTTCTTCACGTGCATCTATCAAATTTATTCACGAACGGGTATGAAAGTGTTATAAAAGCTCACGTAAAGAAAGATAAAAGCTTTTTCTTGGGTTTTTTTACTTGAGATGAATACAGTGTAATTGATTGGAAGAGGAAAGCTTGATTGAGGCTATAAGAACTGAATTGTTTTCCTGTAAATTGTGAATAGTTTGGATGTCACTGTTATGCCAAGATGTACTTTAATATCTCTTCTGTTATTTTCTGCTGTGTGAGGATTAGTGCCAAACAGTGTCTTTTTGCACTTGCAATATAATATAGATTATGCAAACAACTTGAAGAACTATAAGTCACAGGTGAAAAACCAGCAAGTGTGAGACAAATGTATATAATTTAAAGGTTCAAACATATAATAAATTTTAAGTATCTGAAAATTTCAAGTAATGTTCTGTCCAAACTATTATTTTCAATGAATAACCGTGATATCTTAGGCAATATTTATGAATTGTAAAAGATAAAATTATTGTTTCAGTCCCCGTGTGTCGTTCTTGTTTGTTGTTATTGTCATTTGTCCCCAACAGAAAATCCAAATAAAATAAGAAAAATGACTGTGTTATTCTGTACGATCTTTCCATAAACCGTTGAAAATGAAGAAAATCAGGAAAACCTCAACTCAATATCAAGT